TGTCAGCCCTCAAGTTCTCCCATGTCCCTTTTCAGGCATCCCCATGCCACCTTGAGCACTTGGCAACTCTGCTTTCTGTCCCTATAATTTTGCCTAGTTCTGGCCTACCAGGATTTATCCGCTATATATATTTTTTATTTTATCAGTCATATATGTTTATCAATTTAAATATCAAGACCAGTTCATCAAGGTTTGTAATAAAGAACAGAAGACCCTTCTTAACTCCTCTTGAATTCTGAGGAGTTTCAACTTTTTCATAAGTCTTTCAACTCTTTCAGCTGATTTTGGTGGCATACATCCCTTCATTTCTAAACTCACTTCTTACTATGGAAGGTAAGGATTTCACTCTCCACCAGCCATACAGATACTCATGAATCCCTCAGAGAAAAGCAAATATAGATATATCCTAATGTGTTTTTTGTTTGTTTGCTTTTGAGACTGAGTCTCGCTCTGTCTCCCAGGCTGGAGTGCAATGGCATGATCTCAGCTCACTGCAACCTCCACCTCCCAGGCTCAGGCGATTCTCCTCCGCCTCCTTAGTTTTTTGTTTTATTTTTTTCCTTTTTTTAACAGGCTTTGGATTATTATATCTACATAATGCAAGCAGCAGAGGCTGTAGGATTTACTTTGATTGCACTTCCTTTCTTGAATAATAGGTGTTTCTAGAGCTAATACTTTTTTTCTTTGTTCTCTGTGGACATACTTCTGTTTCATACACAAGGTTGCTAACAGAAATGTTGATGTACCTTTTAATATGTTCAGACAAGTAAGATCATTTCTCAGTTTCTTTTTTTTTCTTGGATTCATTCCTCATGGGACCGTCTGTCCCCTGCCTCATTTGGGACTGGTTGCGCTTTCCCAGGACGTCTCTCTTCTTCTGAGAGCTCCCTTTATCAACTGTCTCATGGACAGAAAAATAGGAACTAACTAGGTAATTCAACAGAGCTAGGGATAGTATGTATTTGTAGTTATATAAATTAATACCTATTAATTTAGACTGATCCACGTGTATAAAACATCATAAATTCACGTGGATACCATCAACTGCAATCCAGTAGCACAGGGTTTATTCTAGTTTTTTCCTTCTGAGGCTTATAACTCCCTTCTACAACAGTAAGAAACCTAGCTTTTCTATTTTTAATAGATTTAGTTATTTGATCAGTTCCCTAGTATGTAACTGATCACTCATCCTTATTAGCATGCTGTCTTCCATGGGAACACCCCCCTCACCTCGTACTTGCTCTGATATCTGAGGCCAGTGCACCACCCCAAGTCCTCCTATGTGCAAGTACCCCCTTGCCTCACTTAGGCTCTGATACCCCATCTGCTCCCTTACACGGATGCCCACCTCGTTCTCTGCCATGCCAGTCCAGACCCCTCTGGGGATGTGCAACCATCCCCCATTGCAAATGCCCAAGTCACCCTGCTTCACCCCAAGGCTCAGGACTCAGCTGCCCAGGAGGGAGGACAGAAGAGCCAAGATCCATCTCCTGATTCTGTCCTGATTCCCATTTCCCAAGGTTTTCCTTTCTTCAATCTTCCTATACCAAAGAATACTCTCCTCCTGTTTGCTTAAGCCCAAGATACAAATACCTTTGAGAATTTGCCTTTCCTGCCCCATTCATGGCCATCTCCAGCAAAATCATGAGCAACTCCTGTTTATTCGTGTATATCATACATCTGGGTGCTTTGGCTCACGCCTGTAATCCCAGCACTTTGGGAGGTCTAGGCAGGTGAACCGCTTGAGCCGAGGAGTCTGAGACCAGCCTGTCAACATGGGGAGATGCTATCTCTACAAAAAATGCAAAAGTTATATGGGTGTGGTGGCATGCACCTGTAGTCCCAGCTATGAGGGGTGGGAGGGTGGCAGCTAAGGTGGAATCTATTGAGCCAAGGTGGCGAGGTTGCAGTGAGCCATGATAGCGCCACTGCACTCCAGTCTGGGTGACTGAGTGAGACCCTGCCACAAGGAAAAAACAAAAATTAAAATTAAAAACCTCACAAATATATAGGGAATATATATACCTTGCATTTTTTTTTCATCCCTCCTCTTTTTCACTGCACCTACCACTCCTCTCTGGTGTTCCTCTTTTTTTTTTTCATTCTTTTTTCAAGATAAGTCTTTCTCTATCACCCAGGCTGGAGTGCAGTGGCATAATCTTGCTCACTGCCACCTCCACCTCCCAGGTTCAAGCAGTTTTCCTGCCTCAGCCTCCCAAGTAGCTGGGATTACAGGTGACCACCACCACACCTGACTAATTTTTATATTTTAGTAGAGATGGGGTTTCATCATGTTGGCCAGGCTGGTGTCGAACTCCTGACCTCATGATCCACCTGCCTCGGCCTCTCAAAGTGCTGGGATTACAAGCATGAGCCACCGCACCTGGCCTGGTATTCCTCTTTCTACTACACCTCACATCCCACAATGCATTCCCCTATAGCAGCAAGTATGCTCTTTTAAAAGCTTAAGGCGGCCAGGCACAGTGGCCCACGCCTGTAATCCCAGCACTTTGGGAGTCTGACGCAGGCGGATCAGTTGAGGTCAGGATTTCAAGACCAGCCTCCCCAACTTGGCAAAACCCCATCTCTACTTAAAATACAAAAAATCAGCTGGGCATGGTGGCACACCTCTCTAATCCCAGTTACTCAGGAGGATGAAGCATGAGAATTTCTTGAACCTGAGTGGAGGAGGTTGCAGTGAGCCAAGATTGCACCACTGCACTCCAGCCTGGGTGACAGAGCAAGACTGTCTTAAAAAAAAAAAAAAAAAAAAGCATAAGACATGATGATATTTGAAACCCTCCAATGCTTCCTGCTGTACTTAGAATAAAACATGAATTTCTCTATGGCTTATAATAACTATGTCTGGTAATTAATCTTGGCTACACATCAGCATCACCAGGGGACCCTTACAGAAGCATTAAATCTGGGCCTTACCCCGATCCAGTTAAATCAGAATATTTGGCGGTGTGGCCTAGCGTCAGTATTTGTAAAAGTTCCCTGGTGGGTCTCATGGGTGCCCAGGGTTGAGAACCATGCCTCGTCTAACTACCTTCTTGTTGCCTCTCCTCACCTCAGTCTCTTGCACTGAACTCTGGGCAATGACAGTTTTCTTCTCTCTTTGAACTCAGCTTACTCTTGCCTCACAGCTTCCTCACTTGATTTGTTTCTGTCTTAAAGTTTCTTTGCCCAGCTCTGTTAATGTCTCATTTATTTTAGCTTCTTAGGGTAATCTGTCCTTGATCACCATATCTAAAATAATATCCCATGTTACAACCATTGTTTGCCATGTTACTTTCCTTGCCCACTTTTCACTCCTTCCTTTTAGCACTGTCATTTTCTCAACTCATGTTTTTTTTTGTTTGTTTGTTTCTGTTTTTTGTTTTAGACAGAGTATCACTCTATTGCCAGGCTGGAGTGCAGTGATGCAATCTCGGCTCACTGCAACCTCTGCCACCCAGGTTCAAGTGATTCTCCTGTCTCAGCTTCCCAAGTAGCTGGGACTGCAGGCACATGCCCCCACACCCAGCTAATTTTTGTATTTTTAGTAGAGACAGTGTTTCAATATGTTGGCCAGGATGGTCTAGATCTCTTTACCTCGTGATCTGCCTGCCTCAGCCTCCCAAAGTGCTGGGATTACAGGCATGAGCCACCACACCAGATCACTTGTGTGTATTTTAACATTAGAGTATAATCTTCATGAGAACTCTTGCTTTCCACTACATCATGATTCTTAATTAGTGCTTAATAAAGATTTGTAGAATGTCTGCATGTAGTGACAAGAAGAATCAGGTAAGGAATCTGTTGGATGGAAAGTGTGTAAGAGCCAGAGAGACATTTGGATAGGTGAAGTGAAATGGAGCAGCTGAGATTCTTGATGGTTGGAGATTACTTGAGAACCCAGACATAAAGTAAGTAATTTTGACAGTGGAATAAGCAACTCTCTGTTATTTTCAATTGGAGAGGACAGATTTTTATTCTGGATTAGAGCAGTCCCAAGAAAGCAGAATTCACTCGTGAACCTCAGAAAAGAGCATTCCTCAGCATAGAATAAGTTAGTGTTCGCCATGGTTGCTATGAACTTGGTTTTTGCAACTGTCATTTCCCCTAAATGTAGGCAAGGGTAGTCCTCTGGACTCAGTATCCCCTCACCACTCCCTTTATTTTAATAGTATAATAAATTAAGAAAGCATCTGAGATCCTGCTGACCAGTTCACACTACCCATTGATTGCAGCTGTTGATATGCCCATTGCTACCTCTTGGCATGATGCCTTCTTAAGTCTAATAGCATGCTGTATTTAATTATAATGGTCTTACTGTAAACATGTGGGATTAACTGGAAAACTGCATTCTTGCTTGTATGACAGCCCAGGTTTGTAATGTGGAAATGAGCAAACATACTCGTGAACTATTACCATATTCTGTGCAGTTATTAAAATTGAATTTATGGAGTCCTGACATTATATGCTTAATACTCCAGAGATAGATCTGTTCTCTTATACCTGATGCAAGGAAAATGAACATTCGCATTTACAAATTCAGCATGATAATTTTGTGCCTTTATATAGGGTACATACACACACCACAATTCTAGAGAAGACATAGGAAATTAAAAAAAGTTTTTTCAACAATGACAGGTTTAGGAAGCATAATTCTGTGATGAATGGCTGTGCAAAATACTGTTTACAGAAGTACAGATAAATTCTTCTCTGAAAGGGGAATGAAGTTTGTACTGTGACAGCTTGGCTTTATAGGGCATAGAACGATGAAAACCGCTTGGAAAAGATGAATATCTTGTTTCTCAGTTTAATTTTTATTGTGTAACAAACTAAAACATTAATCTTCTAACATACTATCTGTTGTCTCTATCAATTGTTGCATTCCAGTATCAACTGTTGCATTCCAGTATTGCTAATAGAACATGAGAATGTATATTGCTAATACCTTTATGATATCCCAGAAAACATAAAATATTTTGTGTTCTCTTTTGCTCTGACAGGTTGGTACAGAGGATATACCCTCCAAAATAAATCTAAAAAGGTATGACGTGTCATCCACTTTTTATTTCATTTGAAATCTGTCTGCTAGTTTTGTATTGTGCTATCTGATTCGTTCCTCTGGTCTCTGCTGTCTCTAGACCTAGTTTGCTTTCTCTTTGATGGCTCTTCTTTGGATTTGGAAGCAAATTCTTTGACCTCAGTGCTTAAATTTAATAGTGTAAATCCCATTGACTGTATTTCTCACCAGCCAATTCAAGGAGAAAGTCCTGGAAGACTTCTTTTTTCCTGTCCCTCAAATTAAGCAAGTTGGAAACACATTCATTGCTCTAGTGGGATCTCTCTTTCCGGGAGGGATGGACGAATGCTTCTCCCTTCATCCTTTACTTCTAATGCTAAAATTCCGAACTAAAGGATCTCCTCATTTCCACGTGATCCTTTCCTTCATTGTACATTGGATAAATAAGAGTGGTTTTCATACTGTGAGCCTCATACCCCAGTAATACATTATGAAATCAATATGGTGGATTAGAACCATATTGATTTTTTTCATTTTTCATTTCATTTTTTTCCAAAAAAATGAAATCAAAAAGTAGAGAATGTGACATGCAATGGTAAGTATTGTTTCATGAAACTTTTGTTTTACATATATACTTTTATTTATTGTTTTTATTATATTTTATGTATTTCTTATGTAATACTGGTTGCCATAAAAATTACTGTTCACCAGAGGCACAGTTTGAAAAATACTGGCCTAAATGGTTCCTTTTGCCAAAGCCAAAACTACGAATAGTCAGGCTAAAGAGACTCTATTAATTATGTTAATACCCCCCTCAATTTCTTTTAGGTCTTGTCAGCACTGTTCCTTTGATACAGCTCGCTGGGGCAGCATGATATGTCAGCACTTTCTTTTGAAAAAGCAGAGTTGATAGGGCCTTATTATTTCACAATTAGTTCACATGCCAAATAGCAAATTAGAAAAGAGATAAGAGAAACGTTTTAGAATTTATCAAAAGAGGAGTGAAAAAAGAAAGCCAGACCCACAGTTCTTACTCTTCACGGACAGCAGGAGAAAGACGTAATCCTGGACCATATGCTGATGTTACACACCCAACTCTCCAAAGGGTATGGGGCCCAGGAGGACACCGTTCTACATGGTATTGTTCATAAAACACCAGGACTGCTTCTGCATTGCTGATGCTTAAATCACACTCAGCATTTGCACATGTGTGTGAACACATACACATTTTGTTAACTTTGATGGTTTACGAATCTAGCAAAATAAAGGAATGTTTGCTTTTAATGTAACTCCTACAATTTTGGTCCTTTTTTCTCTCCCCAAACCAGAAAATGAATTTTTCTACCTACAGTTAGATTCTTATACCATGTCTTTATTTCAAACCAAATTATTTTCATTTAACCTCTTACTGACTTCAGTTTCTTTGGGCCATCAAATAGGGGCCAAGAGTGTAGTCATGGCAGAGTGAATGAGGGCATGACAGAATTAAAGTGAAAACCTTTCTTCTGGGATCCTCAATGACACAAGAGTACCTGACTATGGCCACTCCTGCTTTTTAGCCCGATTGGTGTTCATTTTACTCATAGTTATGGAAGTGGTAGTTATTGCAAAGCACAATTAGAGTTAGCAACTTTGATGTTCTGCATTTGTTAAACAGTAAGAATACTTATGTCAGTTCACAATTCTTTTTTTTTTAATGTTAATTTAAAAACAATAAACAAAAAGCCATTCTCAAAATTATGTGGTGAACTTAAGGAACAAACGAAATTCTTGATTTTTCACTGGGAAATGTCAATTATATCCAACCAAGGTCCTAGACCAGGTCTTCCTTTTCATAGACTCTACAGTAGGTAAGGATCATTTTGAACATGGAAGACCTTGCTTTCTAAAGCATCCTATGATATTCTAATACAGTCGTTTCTCATTTCCACAGGGGATTGGTTCCAGGACCCCCACAATAACAAAATCCATGGATGCTCAAGTCCCTGACATAAAATGGCAAAGTATTGGCATATAACCTCTGTGCATCCTCCCGTGTACTTTAAATCATGTATAGATTACTTGAAATGCCTAATACAATGTAAATGCTATGTAAAGAGTTATTATACTGTATTGTTTAGGGAATAATGATAAGGAAATAAACCTCCTTTTACTTTTTTCCCCCTATATTTTCCATCATCGGTTGGTTGAACCCATCTTATGGAGGGCCTGGTGTATATAGAAATCAATCTAGCTAATAGTGCCATTGTTGTCAGCTTTGAACAGTAGATAGATAGGGTGCCCCACCGGGAGCTAAATGATACATTCTGGATGTGTTTTTAATTTTTTCGTGTTCATTAAGGAGTGCTTTAAACCTTTAAGCTTAAAATCTCACTTTTTAGAGAAATCTTTCAGTAAGAGTTTCTCTTTGTTCTCTTGATAACTAAAGGAAAACTTTGTAATTCAATGGAATGATGACACAAACAAGGGCCATGCATTTATTTGACGATTGTTTTAAGTTAAAATATCCTTCTTGTGGAGAAGGATATCCAGGGAAAATATAGGGAATTCAAAATCAGTTGCCATGAATTCTGCTCTGCTTTTGACACCCTTTCATTAAGAGATCAGCTCATTAAAAATGCTCTTCTAATGCCTAAAAACAATAAATAATCCCTCATTTCTCCGTCTGTAGGGGGAGGAGCCACTTGAAAGGCTTATTGATTTAATGGAAATTCTTGGTGTCATTTATAAGCTGACCCAGCCATTTAGAGTGATGATAAAAGGAGCTAGTGGTTTTACAAATTGAAGAAGACAAGTGCTTTTCTGAAACTGATTATTGATCCTGGTGGAATTGTAGGAGTGTGGATAAGGCCAACATCTAGAAAATCATTAGTGTATTTTTTTACTCAAGTGAGTGGGTTGCATTGAGGAAGGAAAAGCAGAATTGAGAGCTAGGCTGTAAATCAGAAACACATGACCTAGGCTCTGACTTTCTGTATATATCCTTTATGATAGGAGACAGTCTGTAAGCATCAGGTTTACCAGAGGAATTCTATGACTGTAAAATGGCCAGGTGTCATCATGGAAGGGTGAGGCCTGCAGATGACAGAGTGGCAATTTAACAAATAAACACATGTATGCATACATACATGCATGCATACATACATACATTAATACATACATATATACATGAGATAGGATCTCAGTCTGTTGCCCAGGCTGGCGTACAGTGGTGTAATTATGGTTTACTGAAGCTTTGACCTCCTGGGCTCAAGCAGTCCTCCTCCCTTAGCCTCCAGTGTAGCTGGGACCATTGGCATGTGCCACCGTGCTGTGCTAATTTTTTGAGTTTTTTTGTAGAGACCGTGTCTCTGTTTGTTTCCCAGGCTGGTCTTGAACTCTTGGGCTCGAGCAATCCTCTTGGCCTCCTAAAGTGCTAGAATTACAGGCATGATCCACTGTGCCCTGCCTTAAATATTCTCTTAATATGAAAATCATCATGTCTGAACATCTAGTATAAAGCATCTGCTTATGATCTGCTTAGATGCCACAAAATTCATCAGTATGCATTTATTTTTTCTGAATACGTCTCTCTTGAATGTTTTCCACTTATTAAGAAGGACTCGTCAACCAGATTGTGAATGCATGAAAATATTAATTGGCCCTTTACTTTCTAATTTGAAAAACCTTCAGCAAGGATGTTCCTTTGTAGTAGCAGTGTTACATTCTACTTTTGACTTCCAGATACGGATCCTTGTAACTAAGCAGTTCATCCCTACCCAGCGCCCCACGCCCGCCCCTGCTTTTTTATGAGTTTTGGACTTTTTATTGTGGTAAAAATGTATATAACATAAAATTTACCATGTTAACCATTTTTAAGTGTGCGTTTCAATGGCACTAATTACATTCTCATTGTTGTACAACCATCAACACTGTCCATCTCCAGAAGTGTTCATCTTTCCAAACTAAAATTCTGTCCCCTTTAGATACTAACTACCCATTGTCCCTCCCCCAAGTCCCTATGAACCCCCATTGTACTTTCTGTCTTTATGAATTTGACTACTCCAGGTATAAGTGGAGCCATACAGTATTTGTCCTTTGTGACTGGCTTATTCCCAACATCCCAGTTTGGGTTCCCACAGGGATGATAGTCAACAAATCATTTACCGTGGTGCAGTGGCACAGCAGGCAGAAGAAACACCCAGAGTTCCTTAGGCATCCTAGGGACAGGCCTAGAGTTTCAGAACTGCAGAAATCAGGTCCCAGAGAAATCACACACACATTTCATTTCTGTGTTCAATTATTTGATCCATTTTCCAAAATGCTTCCGAATTCCACGCCCATAATTAAAGAGGTCATTGTCACCTTGCGTCTGTGTGTGTTCTTGGTCTCATCAGTAACAGGATTAGAATCATGCTTTCTCACTAATTTGCCCCACATCTGCCCCCTTCTTAAAGCATGGAGGAGAAGGAATGCACTTTTTATTTTGGGGCTTTGTGCCTGGTGGGAAAGCACGTGCAGGATCCACTCTGTCATCACCAATGCAAGGAGCAGCTTAATCTCAAATGTTCTTGCTGTTTCCTGTTTTACTGGCAAATGATTAAAAGAGAAAAAGCAAAGTATTGTACAGACAAATATAGCACATGCAACTGGACACAAGAACAACCCCATCAATGTTCACTGGTTTCCTGTCTGAGTGGAGTAAGGATCAATGGTTATATATGCTTCTGGGCAGTGGGACATCCCGTCCCACCTTTATGATTAGCCACCCCTGACATGTCATGTTCATGGAGTTCACACCAACTCTTCCAGGAGTAGGGCTGGGAAGCAATTCGCCAACAGTGCCAGCTGTAAGTTGCATGTAAGTTACCGTGAAACAGAGCAGCAGCGCCATCTCCAGAAGGCATCTCCTCTGTCTGTATATGAGCATATCACACAGTAAACAGTGGAAGCTTTGACATGCATAAGTACACTCACATCTGGAACTTGCATTCTGTTGATTAGATCTGATCCTCCATTCTCCAATTGTTACCCATGTTTCTCCTCTTTCTCTTAGGTCTTTCCATGCCTAAGTCTTCCCCAGAGGCAGTGTTACAATACTGATAGAGAATTGCCTCTTAGGAATATAGAATGGAGAGCAGTTTGAGACTATGAGGTCCTAAAAATAACCAGCTACTAATACTCATTGATTTTTGGGTGCATTTGGTTTAAGTGGGAGTGCTGAGAGGAATTACTTTAGAAAAATTACTGTGTAGTTGACTCGTGAAAAATGTGGATTTGAACTGTGCAGCACTTACACATGGATTTTATTTTTTAGCCAAATGCAGATCAGAGTTGCAATATTCTTGGGACATGAAACTTGTGTAAAGGTACATGCAGGTTGTGCGGGGCTGCGTGCCATACTCGAGTATGTGTGGATTTGGGTATATGCTCTGTGGAAGGGAGTTCCTGGAACCAATCCCTTACGTATTCTGAATGATGACTTATTTTATGGGCTACTAAGTCCTGCATATCTTCCATATCACCCCTTATGTGAAACCCTTACGGGAAGCATCTCATGGCAATTAGCATCTGAGGGGTTTAGGAGCTCACAGTTACACTCTTTCCCATTATGGTATCTCTGAGCTGACACAGCATGTTTGCCTCTTCATTCACAAAATATCTTATGCTCTCTGAACCCAAATTTTGATTTCTACCTTTTTGGTGTTTCCACCATGCTTTTGTTGAGGTAGCCAGTCAATGTAAGTGAAGTCCTACAAACCTGATGTCAGGAATTTAGCTATTGCCCAGGTGTTCTCATTCATTCTTGCTGTTCATTCATTCTCTTTACTTTGTGCTGAGGTAGTTTTTTGTCTGTTTTTTGTTTTTGTAGTTTTGTCTTGTTTTTATGGCTGTATAACCAAAGCTCTTCTCTCTGTAGGGCATTTTCCCTGAAACGTATATCCATTTGAAAGAGGCAACTGTAGAAGACCTGGGGTAAGTTCCAACCTAGGAAGACTCTCAAACATGATGAAGATGTAAGATTATCATTAATGATCATCTTAAGGCATTAGTGCCTTATGTATGTTAATAGTTCTCTCATCTCAGGCCAGGCACAGTGACTCACGCCTATAATCCTAGCACTTTGGGAGGCCGAGATGAGCAGATCATTTGAGGTCAGGAGTTCAAAACCAATCTGGCCAACATGGTGAAACCCCATCTGTACTAAAAATACAAATATTAGCCAGGCATGGTGGTGGGCGCCTGTAATACCAGCTATTGGGGAGGCTGAGGCAGGAGAATTGCCTGAACCTAGGAGGTGTAGCTTGCAGTGAGCTGAGATTGCACCACTGGACTCCAGCCTGGGTGACAGAGTGAGACTCTGTCTCAAAAAAAAAAAAAAAAAATTCTCTCATCAGTTCTATGAGAGAGAAATGAAGAAAAACTTTTAATTGGTATCATTCCTTCCTCTGTCTTCTCTTTCTAGAATTGTTCCTCCTTTGCATTAATTTTCCAGAATACTAAAAGCAGAAGTAGTAGACCAAGGGTTTTGCCTCTATATTATATTTATTACCTGCTCACTGATTTTGTGTGTGTTTGTGTGTGTGTTTGCACACATGAACATTTGGGACTCTGACTGATAAGATCTGAGAAGCCCCCACTTTCCGATCTTTGAGAGATAGATGATTAAGTGACAACCTGCACTTACCGGCTCTGAGCCTTGGATGAATCATTTAGCCTGAAATGTATTTTGGATTTTTCACAGCATATTAGGGGGAAACAATCTGTCCCTACTTTGATCATGAGCTTATCATGAGATTGGAATGAGGTAACATGTGCAGACGTGTTCTGCAGATACTATCTGCTACATTTTGGGTATTCATATTTTCTGCCCACCTCGTTTGTCCTGGGAAGTACTTACTGCCTCTGTGGCACCTAAGAAGAGTGAGCTATTTGGTCTCATTGGGAGAGAGAGGTCACTTAGCTGGTGGTGAGTCTCTGGACGGGAGAGTTCTGGAGGCAGTAAGGAGAGGCTGGGGTAGGACTGGGACCCTGGGGCTGATAGAGTGGGGCCGAGGAGAGAACGGACAGCTGGGTCACAGAGCCACGCAGCCTTGCAGCTAGAAAGAGCATTCCCACCATAGTTCAGCACCATCATTTCTTTTCTTTTCTTTACTTTTTTTTTGAGTATGGGCAAGCTTTATTATATATGAAGTTGATTTCGTAAATTAGAATGGCAGTTTCACTTAAAATTAACTCATTAAAAAGTGTAAATGTCATGATATAGATATGTTTTCCAAAACTCCAAAAGATAGTGAAACTGGTACAGATACTGTCACTCATCTTTGGACCAATACAATAGCAGAATTGATGAATCTGGTTCCCAGACAAGCATGTACCACTTGCTCCTGTGCCGTAGGGAAGAGAGGATGCTTTAACCCAGGCATTATTGATGCAGTGACTCATGGATAGTTGCTCCTTATTAACACTGCTAAAATTAGGTTCACATGTTTTACTTTGTGTGGGCCCTGATGCTCCCGTCTTTTCGTTCTTTCAAGGTGTTGCCTCATACCCACTCATTGCAAAATGCATCCAGATGGGAATTTAAGCCTCTTCACAAAGCAAACCCCTGGAAACTCATAGGTAGTATGCATCAGTGGTCTGTAACTGATCTCTGATAATATGGCAACACCATTTCTTTAGAACCTAATTTTCTTGATTCCACAAGAAGTGGCAGGATAGGAAAACTCATGGTTAAGTGAGAACAGTCTTGTTACAGGACGGTTATCTCCCAGGTGTATGTTGCCAATTCTGATTTCCGTGTTGTTATGGAAGGGCCTTATTTTCATTCTGACTAACAACCAATCGTCAGAACACATTGAAACTGTTGCTGGGTCAAGTCCCAAAGAATCCCAAAACATTAAAAAAAGGAGGAAGGACCCACCTACGAGCACAGAGGTCTTCGTCGCTCCAGACTCCCAGACACAGCACAGGGAACAAGAAATGGCAGCACTATCATTTCATAGACAAGTGGTCAAGATGTCCTCAAAGCCATACAGCTCTTTGGTGGCAAAACCAAGAGCAAAAACCAGGTCTCCTGCCCTGCTGGGGAAGTCCTCTTTTCCAGTAGGCCATGGATACCCACCGCTGTCACCCGCTATGTTACTGGAAATGCAGGTGGGGAGGCACATTCACACCCATTAGGGTTGTACAGCATGCTTGTTACATTTGCAATTTAAATAGTAATTTTTCATGGTAAGCATTTCCCAGATATGTCATAAGTTACACTAATTCTAAAGAAATGTTCTTACTTTACCAGAAATTCAAACTTAACTGGGCCTCCTGTATTTCTCCTCATTAAGTCTGGCAGCCCTATCGCCAATTCCCATTTGTTTGCTTGCTCTTGCTTTCTCCCTTTTTCTTTTTGCTAATCATAAAAATGCCAGAGAGGATTTATGTGAATATACGTAGTACCTACCTTTATGTGAGTCTTCTGTGAATAAGCGAGGATTTTGTTAAGTGTACATTTTCTATGTTGTGAAACTGCAGATGAGAATAAAACATGGGACTATTCCAGAAAGGAGTGCTGCCTCTGCATACCCAACCTCCACCCTGGCCCCTGCCCTAAGCAGATCCAGGGTAGAGTCACAGCCCCAGGACACTTGTGCCACACACACCTCTCCACGCAGCCTCCCAAATGAAACAGCTGTTTGGTGGAACCAGCTAAAATGCTGCAAGTTTTGCGTCCATCTGAGAATCGCTGAAGCCAGCCTGGCTCAGTAATTGAGCCTCCTGGAGAAATCCAAATTGGGGAGGTCGAGGTTGGGATTCAGTTGCAGGAACTGAGCCTATTTTGAGGGCTGTGCTGTCTTGTTCTTCTCCTCGCCCAGATGCTTGGATGTGATAAAGTCCCCCACACATCTCCTGACCCCATGCCCCAATAGCTTTCTTCTCATCCTTGAGTGTTAAGGAGTCTGATCCCTATCAAGTAAAGCAGTGTCAATCAACCTGGAGTAACGTGACCCTTGTTTGGTTATTTGTAGGCAGCATGAAACTGTGATTCCTGGTGAGCTCCCCCTGGTGCAGGAGCTCACTTCCACTCTGCGAGAATGGGCTGTCATCTGGCGAAAGCTCTACGTGGTGAGTTTCCCCTTGTAGCTTGGCGCCCCAGGGTCACTCTGGATCCTCAGCCTGTAGGTCCTTTGCAGGGTATTGGCCCCCTATTGGCTGACTCCATGGAGTGGGATGCATCTTCCCTGGACCACACAAAGGCTGATAAGCAGGAGATTCTCATTTCCCCGGAGCTGGGTCATTGATAGGGGGTAGTGGAGTAAGTGGGCATAATCATTCTAGCAGTCTTGATTCTCAAGTGACAAACATGCTGATTATGAAAGTACTAATGATAATCATCACTGCAAACACATGTAGTCTTTCCTAAGTGCCAGAAACTATGAATCCTCACAACATTCCTATAACGTAGGTGCAATTATTATTATCTATTTGTTATAAGGAACCTGAGTCATGGTCTTAGCTTCTTCATGTATGCCACTAGATTGAAATTTGTCAGTATTTCAGGGCTCGGCCACGTGAGGATGACATTCTTTGTCTCAGGTACCTTACAGACTCAGAAACTTGAATAGTGTTAAGCTGTGGTCTGAGAATTGCCTTTTTTGGGCAGACTCACAGTATTCTTTCTCCCAACGCTATTTGACCTCAGAATGCTAATACAGTGTGTCAGTTCACAGGGAAATTATGAGGAGCCAGCGCATCCTCTCCATGATAAACAATAAGCACAAGTTATACACAGGAATCAGGACCAATTAAATCTAGCATTTAACAGGATCAAACTGAGAACAGCTGTGTTGCAAGAGACAAGGATGTTCAAAGTTTATTGGCAGCAAGCCTGCCTCATCTCCAGCATAGGAAGCTCTCTTCTTAATGTTGGAATCCACAAAGGTTTTGTTTGTTTGTTTGTTTGTTTGTTTATTTTTTGAGACAGAGTCTCCCTCTGTTGCCCAGGCTGGAGTGCAGTGGCATAATCTTGGCTCACTGCAACCTCCACCTCCCAAGTTCAATCAGTTCTGCTTCAGCCTCCCTAGTAGCTAGGATTACAGGCGTGTGCCACCACATCCAATTAATTTTTTTATTTATTTAATTTTTTTAGTGGAGATGAGGTTTCACCATCTGGTCTTGGTGGTCCATTGGCCAGGCTGGTCTTGAACTTCTGACCTCAAGTGATCCACCTGTCTTGGCCTCCCAAAGTGTTGGGATTACAAGCGTAAGCCCCCATGCCCAGCTAATTTTTCTGTGTGTTTTTAATAGAAACCGGGTTTCACCAAGTTGGCCAGTCTGGTCTCAAACTCCTGACCTCAAGTGCTACACCCGCCTTGGCCTCCCAAAGTGTTGGGATTATAGGCATGAGCCATTGCGCCCTACCCACAAAGACTGTTTATTCTGAAGTGGCCTCTTTGCCTGGAGCCTTTGTAATTAACCATCACTGGTGTCTTGCCTCTGTTAGTGGGCTCCAGTCTTTTGTGGCTCACCAGGAATTCCTATGACAAATATATTTTCTCTCGTTAGATGTGTGCATGAGTTCAGAGAGGTTGTAGACCAGACTTGATAGCCTGGGAACCCTCCTCTTTTTTTTAATGTGACTTTGTTTATCTAAATTTTTGTTCAGTCATGTGTTGATTCATTTTAACTCTGAAAAGCCAATCTTAAGTCACTGAGAACACCTTACTCTAGACCCTAAGTACTGAAGACAATAATCAAAGGCTCATTTTAGCATAACTTCTAAGAGTTCATGGAAGATATTTCATTTTCATTCAGGGCTTTTGTTTCCCTTGGTTAGTCACAGCATTAGGAATCACCATCCCCTTTGGTGAAAAAGCACATGAAATTTCTCTACTTGCTCATCCTTCAAGACCTTGTTTCGATACTTTCTTCTTCGTATTATATCTTCTAAACACACCAATCTATAAAATTTCCCTCTGGACCATAGAGACACTTACTGCTGAACCCATCATCTGACCCGTAGGGCACACTGCCTCATAATAAAGGTGATCTTTTGATCTATTTACGATTAGTTGAAGAGAGAAAGCATGTTAAGTTCCTAAATCACAAGGAGGATGGAAACGCTACTGTCAGCCCTGTGGTCTTCATTGATCATCTTGCACTTACATTGAGAGTACTCTCTGGTTCTGGTTTATTGATTGGTTGGTTTGGTGGATGTAACAAGGTTGATGGATGAGGAATTGCATGTACGTGGGTTGGTTCCTTAATATGTTCTTTCTGGAAATTGATGAGTGTTGAAATGCATTAGATAATCGGTATTGGGAAAGGAGAGTTTTTAAAAAAAAAAAGATTTATGAGAGTGGGGAGTATGAGTGAGGCCACCTTTTTTTTCCTTGCTAAAACACAACTGGTGTGCCCACTTTATGATCTATGTCCTCTACACATCCACAAGTAATTGTGCCAGGTGAACCACTGAATAGAACTGAAAAAGAAGTGAATGGGGGCCGGGCTCAGTGGCTCATGCCTGTAGCCCAAGCACTTTGGGAGGCCAAGGAAGGCAGATCACTTGAAGTCAGGAGTTCGAGATCAGCCTGTCCAACATGGTGAAACCCTGTCTCTACTAAAAATACAAAATTTAGCTGGGTGTGGTGGCTTATGCCTGTAATCCCTACTTGGGAGTCTGGGGCAGGAGAATCACTTGAACTCAGGAGGCAGAGGTTGCAGTGAGCTGAGATCATGTTGTTATAATCCAGCCTGGGGGACAAGAGTAGAACTCCATCTCAAAAAATAATAAAAGAACTGAATGGGGATGAAGAATTAGGACTCTTGTATTTTGGCTGCCAAAATCTCTTAGTAGTTAAAGATGATAAGGTCTTGCTGAGCATTTCCTAGGTGGGAGAGTTTCATATTGTGTAGCAGAATTTGGTTAAGGAAAAAAAAGCCAAATATAGGTGATGGGGAGGAAGGCAGCAAACCACATTGCCATATATGTACCTATGCAACAATCCTGTATGTTCTTCACATGTACCCCAAAACCTAAAACACAATCATATATATATATATATATATATATATATATATATATATGCCATCTTCTTTTCAAGGGCAGCACATTTCTTGTTTTAATTTAGATATCTAATAACAATTATTTTGGCATTTGTGAATACTTTAAAGTGTCTTATAGCTGCTGTTGATTGACTAAAAGACATTCATTATAGGAATTCACAATCAGTTGATAGGACTAAGAAACCTGCTTCTGCTTTTGATACATGCTCATCTAGTAGGGAATCATCCATCCACTAAGATTTGTTATTAAGGTTAGTGGAAAAATAATTGTGGCTAGTATTAATTGTGGCTTTCTCTTTCTTTTTCCTGTCCCTTGCTAAACCATTGACAGTTCACTTCAGGCAGAATTTCTGAACTTCTTACTGAAAAATTTCTGTATCAGAGTAGCAAACCTCAATATTATGTTTCACTAGGAAACAAGTAAAAAGTATGCAAATTCTCTAGTTTTCATGTCCCATCTCCTTTCACCCGCCATACACGTTGTCGATATTTCTGCCTTCTGATTCTGTAAGTTCCTTTAGTCCATGTAAAGACAAATATAGATTTTACTAGTATGTATCAATGCTTGTATTATTTTGCTCTTGCATTTTCCCCTGTAGATTACAACACCAGGCACTCTGTTTGATGTCTTTAAAGACACCTGTGGCCAGCATAGTGACTCATACCTGTAATCGCATCCCTTTGGGAGATTAAGCCTGGGAGAATATTTCAGTCCAGAAGTTTGAGACCAGCCTGGGTGACATAGCAAGCCCTATCTCTAAAAAAATTCAAAAATTATCCAGGCACGGTGGCACACACCTGTAATCTCAGCTACTCAAAAGGCTGAGATGGGAGGATCACTTGAGCTCCAGAGGTCGGAGCTGCAGTGAGCCATGATTGTACCACTGTCCTCCAGCCTGGGTGACAGAGTAAGACCCTTTCTAAAAAAAAAAAAAGACACCTGTGATGTGTTAGAAATCCCATATTTCTATAATGCATTTCCTTGTTCTTTTCTTTTCAGTCTGAGTTCACCAGAAATGTACATTGTGGATCCACGGTCTCATATGAGGGGAAAATGCCATCCACTAACCAGATTAGACCCTGGTGATTATTCTAGAAAGGAAAAATATTTGTCTAGCTGTGATTTATTTTTAGCAGTTATATGGTAACCATGTAGAATAATCATAAATATGTCTTAAACAGGAGGGGATTGTGTACACCGAACTGAAATGACCCCACTTATCCAGAATAGAAGAGATGACTCACCCCATGGTCCCTCTGTTCCTTTGGTATATTATTATTGTTTTCTATTGGATTATCTTCCCCGGTGAGTGTTGCCCTTATGCTCAGGAGAGGAAGTGGGCTTTAGGAGGCAGACACTGGCGCAGCAATTAGGAAGCTGGGTGTCCTGAGCCAGCACCGTCCCTAACCAGCTCTGTGGTCTTCAGCAAGTCACTTTAACACTCAAGCCTGCTGGATGTTGTTCCTCTGCAAAAGTTGATGTAAAACCTGCCTTGTTAGTCTCATAGAACTGTGAGAATGTGGAAAGAGAGAGCGGCTGTGATCTGTGCTGCTGACAAAACCGTCAAGGACTCTGCCAATGGGAGCATGTGCTTTGATATTATCTTAGCTGGAAACAGTAGCCATTCTGGACACCCTCCCCCTGGGAAGCCTTGGCATAGCTCCCCTGTCACCCGACTGTGTGCCTGAGAGTCTGAAGCTCCCTTCTGTATGGCCCCTTATCCAAGGCCACTTTCTTTGGAACAATTGTCTTAGGTAGAGTGGCCTTGAGCACTCAGCAGTGGAGCTAAATTTCTCACCATAGATAGAGAACCTGCTTGGTTTCAATGCAAGTCCAAGAGGTCTGGATCATTCTAAAATGCAGAGAAACTGCAAAGTTATGGCAGTTTCTGATGGGCTTTCCCTATATGGCTGTGCCTCAGTTGGAACTGGTCACTGGGTGTATTTCTTGTGGTTGTTTAGGAAAGGAGGAAACACTGTGAACAAGGAGGCCACCTGGTGACATGCCAAGACCTTGGATATTGGAGTCACACAGGCTGACTGGTTCTTAAGTTCTGGCT